CAGGGGGCTGCAGGCTGGCATTGGGGGCACTAACAGAGTGCATGTGTCCCAGCCTTTCAAACTGCCCAGTCACCTTGCTCCATACTTGAAAGCAGCACCAGTTTCCTGCGGGTTCCTGGAGAGCAATGGAGCTGTGTGGAGGGGATTTCCACAGGCTCCCGCCAAATCATCAGCACGTGGCACTCACAAGTGCTTGTGGCTGCCAGGGATGAGGCAGGGCCCCTCTGTGTCTATGGAGGGAATGGGAGAATGGGCCAAATCCCAAACAGGAGACGGCCGAGAGCTCTGTATACTCATCCACTTACTCACCCTTCCTTTTCCTCCTGACTTTACTCACTCTGGCAACTTGAGGTTTGGATCCCAGCCTAATGCAGCACAGATCCAGGGCTGGGATAACAGGGGCTGCAAGTCTGGATTGAGTGGCAGCAGGAGAGATGGGGGGGGGGACCCAGGGCTGGGATAGCAGGGGGGCTTCAAGTCCAGAGTGAGAGCTACCCCTGTGGAATTCAAGGACAACAGGGTACCAGTGTTACCATCTCCTGGGACACTCCGAACAGCTCCCTGTATCCATAGGGCATGTTAACCCCTTGCATGCTAGAGCAGAGGGACCCTGGGTGCTGCAGTGCATGGGGGAGGGGCTGCCTTAAGATCACCAGCCATGTGCTCAGCCCCACCTTCCCCCTAGCTGCCGAGTTGCCAGGGCCACTTTGTGCAGTGGTTCCCAGGGGATATTCCTTCCTCGCCCCTAACCCCACCCAGCTTAGGGGCCTCCCTCTGCTCTGAGTCTCAAATACTGTCAGGCTGGGGCCCCTCAGGATGAGATGGTTCAAGTGCCATTGGCCTGGGGGTCTCTGCCCACCCCAATCTTGGACCCAAGGGCCAGGGGTGTCCTACACCCCCCCCAACTCCTCCCAGAGCTGGGAGAGAACCCAGGAGTCCTGACTCCCCCACCCTGCTCTAAGCCAGCAGATCCCGTAGCTCTTCCAGCATCCCAGTAAAACGTCTGCCTGGATTGGCCTAATAGAGAGACTCCAGAGCTGTGCCCTTTACCAAAAGCAGTTTTGCCCCCTCCCCTCACTCTTGCCTCTCCCCAGCCCCATTCCCCTGAAGCCCTTCCCCCTGTTCCTACAGGCTTCATGTACTGACAGTGCTATACAGAATGCAGGGAGAAGATCCCTGGGAGCCAGGACTCCTGGGTTCTATTCCCAGCTCAGGCAGGCAGTTGTATGGCAGCCCCTTAGCACCAGGGTAGGGCCCTCCTTGGGCTTGGGGGAAAATGGTGCCAGGATGGCATATTGGGTTGTTGGAACCATGCCCAGCTAGTGCCCTGTCCTGGAGCCAGCGGGGGCATTCAACTCAATCATCTCAGGGCTGGGAGATTCTTGAAAGAAAAAAATCAGACTGGGTGAGACACAGAGCAAAGGAGGGAGTGGACAAGGGGCCTTTCTCCTCTTGGGGCTCTGACCCCGGCTGGCTCAGGGGATTGGGCAAGGGGCTACAGGGCACCAGGTCCAATCCAGACCCAGGTCATTCATAACTGTAGGCCATTCCCAGCTGTGCTGGTGGATTGAGTTGTGGGCCCCCCTGGGGGCATCTGCATCACACCAGCTGAAGCAGAAAGGCCAAGGGCTGAATGGTCCAGTGACAGCCAAATCCCCTGTGGAAGGGGGTTGCGGCAGGCCATTTGGGGAAGGGAGTCTCCATGCTGCTGCCCCATTTTAGGACAAGGAGAATCCCAGGTCCAGGAGTGCCGAGTCGGTACTGACTGTGCCCCTGTATCTGGCACAGCCCAGACCTCACCTCTTCCTTCCCCACAGGACCCAGAGTCTCATCCCCCTCTGAATCACTGCAGGCCTCTGGCACGTTCCTCTACCCAGGCGCCTGTCATTCCAACCCCATGAGCTGGGGGGATCTCCAGCACCGAGAGAGAGATTTCCTGCCCCCTGTGCTCCCAGCTTGCAACCATCAGCCACTGGGCCTCAGCCAAAGCAGCAGGTCTCCACACTAAGCAGAGTCCAGGTGGGTCAGTGTAGGGTGGGAGACCTGTACTTCACGGGGAGAGGCTCTCCAAATAGCCCCACCCCGTGTCAGACAAACAGCATCCATTGAACAGGGAGGCTGCCAGCCACAAACCGGCACATAGTGCACACTCATTATGGGTCTGCACAGACACCAACCTATGCGATCTAGTGTGTGAATGCCCTTACACAGCAACAATCACTCAACTACACACAATGAAGACTGCACAGCCCTCTCCTGATTTCACAATCATATGCAATGCCAATTGCACATACAAACACGCCAATTGCAACACACTCACCCAATTGCGCACATACACATGTATACAGCTTGACAATTGCCCAGACTCTCACCCTAACCCTAACCCTGACAATTGCCCATAATCACACACAACAGCAATTGCAACACACACCCTCTATGTGTGGATGCACATTCTGCCACACCC